AATAGAGCAGATGAGGCTGTTCAGGTGAGGGTGCAGAGAGAGAGAGAGAGCAAAGGGCCTAGAACAGACACGTGGGCATGTGCATTTTGGAGAAGTGCCGAATGAATAGCCTCAAAGGAGACAGAAGGAACAGTCAGGGATAACCAGAGGAAAACCAGGAGAGGTCACTGGGTGATATAGACACCAAGAGAAGAAAGTGTTTCCAAAGCAAAGGAGTAAGTTTTAATAAATTATAATAATGAGCTTTGTAGATTTATTCCATGATGGTATTTTCTTTGTCTATTTAGCTCCTTCAAGCATCAGAGTTCTGTACCTACCTGGATGTTTCTGGGGTTAGTGATCCAGAAATGTATGTAACCTACCCAGATGTTTCATTAAGTATATACGCTTTGAATAAGTCTACCATGATCATGCTTCCTGAATCCAGTACTGAGTCACATGAGCTGACAGTGGGGCAAAAATTTGACATCAGGTTGTAATGGAAAACTGTGAGTAGAGAAAAGCCATGGGTGTTTCCTCTTAGCCTTTGACTTAAGCACTGAGAAATCACAATTATAATTATCTTCCTGTGAAGCCTCTTCATCCCTCAGTATTTTTTACTATCTAAATAAAGACTTTTTCCAAGACTGTTACACCTTTTTAAAAAATAAATATTATTTTTTTAAATAATATTTTCTCCAATGAAACTTTTTTTTTCCAGAAAAAGAGAGAGCCAGCATGTGCACATGTGCACATGAGCAGGGGTAGGGGGGCTGTTGGTGGAGGAAGGAAGAGGGAGAGGGGAGAGAGATTCTTTTTTTTTTTTTAATTGAGAGGCTATTATCTGCTCCATGCTATTTCTTTTCTTTTCTTTTTTTTTTTGCAGTCCATAGAAGAGTCATTTTATTCTTTTTTCTTAACTTTTAAAAATTTTTTTATTGTTATGTTAATCACCATACATTACATCATTAGTTTTTGATCTTTTCTTTTTTAAAATTTTTTATTTAAATTCAATATAGTTAACAGAGAGCGTATTATTAGTTTTAGGGGTAGAATTTGGTGATTCATCAGTGCATATAATAACCAGTGCTCATTCCTTCAAGTGTCCTCCTTAATGCCTGTCACCCAATTACCGCATCCCCCCACCCACCTCCCCTCCAGCAGCCCTCAAGTTTTTTTCTTATAGTTAAGAGTCTCTTATGGTTTGCCTCCCTGGTTTTTTTATATTTTATTTTTCCTTCTCTTCCCCGACATTCATCTGTTTTGTTTCTTAAATTCTACATATTCTACATATGAGTGAAATCATATGGTATTTGTCTTTCTCTGACTGGCTTATCTCACTTAGCATAATACCCTCTAGTTCCATCCATGTCATTGCAAATGGCTGAGTAATATTCCATCGTGTGTGTGTGTGTGTGTGTGTATGTGTGTGTACACCACATCTTCTTTATCCATCTTCTTTGATGGACATCTGGGGTCTTTCCATATTTCGGCTATTGTGGACATTGCTGTTACAAACATTGGGGTGCATGTGCCCCTTTGAATCACTGTTTTTATATCCTTTGGATAAATACCTAGTAGTGCAATTGCTGGGCTGTAGGGTAGTTCTATTTCCAACTTTTTGAGGAACCTCCATACTGTTTTCCAGAATGGCTATACCAGCTTGCATCCCCACCAGCACTCTCAGAAGGCTCCCCTTTCTCTACATTCTCACCAACATCTGTTGTTTCCTGAGTTAATTTTAGCCATTCTAACCAGTGTGAGGTGATATTTCATTGTGGTTTTGGTTTGCATTTGCCTGATGATGAGTCATTTTGAGCATCTTTGCATGTGTCTGTTGGCCATCTGTATGTCTTCTTTGGAGAAATGTCTGTTCATGTCTTCTGCCCATTTCTTGACTAGATTTTTTGTCTTTTGGGTGTTGAGTTTGATAAGTTCTTTATAGATTTTGGATACTAACCCTTTATCTGACATGTCATTTGTGAATATCTTCTCCTCTGCCTTTTAGTTTTGTTCATTGTTTCCTTTGCTGTGCAAAAGCTTTTTATCCTGATGAGGTCCCAATAGTTCATTTTTGCTTTTGTTTCCCTTGCCCTTGGAGATGTGTCTAACAAGAAGTTGCTGCAACCGAGGTCAAAGAAGTTGCTGCCTGTGTTCTCCTCTAGGATTTTGATGGATTCCTGTCTTACATTTAGGTCTTTCATCCATTTTGAGTTTATTTTTGTGTATGGTGTAAGAAAGTGGTCCAGTTTCATTATGCTGCCTGTGGCTGTCCAATTTTCCCAACACCATTTGTTGAAGAGACTCTCTTTTTTCCATTGGACATTCTTTCCTGCTCTGTTGATGATTAGTTGACCATAGAGTTGAGGGTCCATTTCTCGGTTCTCTATGCTGTTCCATTGACCTATATGTCTGTTTTTGAACCACTATCATACTGTCTTGATGATTATAGCTTTGTAATAGAGCTTGAAGTCTGGAATTGTGATGCCTCCAGCTTTAGTTTTCTTTTTCAACATTACTTTGGCTATTTGGGAACTTTTCTGGTTCCATACAAATTTTAGAATTCTTTGTTCCAGCTCTGTGAAAAATGCTGGTAGTATTTTGATAGGGACAGCTTTGAATGTATAGATTGCTTTGGGTAGCATAGACATTTTAAAAATGTTTTTTCTTCCAATCCATGAGCATGGAATGTTTTTCCATTTCTTTGTGTCTTCTGCAATTTCTTTCATAAGTGTTCTATATTTTCAGAGTATAGATCCCTTACCTCTTTGGTTAGGTTTATTCCTAGCTAACTTATGGTTTGGGGTGCAATCATGAACAGGATCGATTCCTTGATTTCTCTTTCTGCTCCTTCTTTGTTAGTGGATAGAAATGCAACAGACTTCTCTGCATTGATTTTATATCCTGCCACTTTGCTGAATTTCTGTATCAGTTCTAGCAATTTTTTTGGTGGACTCTTTCATGTTGTCCATGAAGAATGGAAGTTTGACTTCTTCTTTGCCAATTTGGATGTCTTTTATTTCTCTTTGTTGTGAATTGCTGAGGCTAGGACTTCTAGTACTATGTTGAACAACAACGGTGAGAGTGGACATCCCTGTCATGTTCCTGACCTTAGGGGAAAAGCTCTCAGGTTTTCCCTTGTTGAGGATGTTGAGGATGATATTTGCTGTGGTTTTTTTTTTTTAATTTTTATTTATTTATTTTTAAAGATTTTATTTATTTATTTGAGAGAGAGAAAATGAGCGGTGGGGAGGGGCAGAGGAAGAGAGAGAGAGACTCCCCGCTGAGCAGGGAGCCCAATGTGGGGCTTGATCCCAGGACCCCAGGATCATGACCTGAGCCAAAGGCAGATGCTTAACCAACTGAGCCACCCAGGCGCTCCCTTTTTTTTTTTTTTAAGATTTTATTTATTTATCTGAGAGAGAGAGAGAACAGGTGGGGGGAGGGGAAGAGAGAGAGGGAGAAGCTGAGCAAGAAGCCCGATATGGGACTCTATCCCAGGACCCTGGGATTATGACCTGAGCAGAAGGCAGATGCTTAACTGACTGAGCCACTCAGGCGCCCTCATGTTTTCATTTTCATTTCCTCCCATGTATTTTTTAATTCTTCTTTAATTTCCTGGTTGACCCATTCATTCTTTACTAGGATGTTTTTTAACCTCCATGTATTTGTGGTCCTTCCAAATTTCTCCTTGTGGTTGACTTCAAGTTTCATAGAATTGTGGTCTGAAAATATGCATGGTATGATCTCAATCTTTTGTACCAGTTGAATCCTGATTTGTGACCCAGTATGTGACCTATTCTGGAGAATGTTCCATGTGCACTTGAAAAGAATGTGTATTCTGATGCTTTAGGATGAAATGCTGTGTATATATCTCTTTTTTTTTTTAATTTTATTATGTTATGTTAGTCACCATACATTACATCATTAGTTTTTGATGTAGTGATCCACGATCCATTGTTTTCATATAACACCCAGTGCTCCATGCAGTATGTGCCCTCCTTAATACCCATCACCGGGCTAACCAATCCTCCCTCCCCCCTCCCCTCTAAAACCCTGTTTGTTTCTCAGGTCCATAGTCTCTCATGGTTATATATCTCTTAAGTATATCTGGTCCAGTGTGTCATTCAAAGCCCTTGTTTCCTTGTTGATCTTCTGCTTAGATGATCTGTCCATTGCTGTGAGCGAGGTGTTAAAGTCTGATACTATTACTGTATTATTATCAATGAGTTTCTTTTATTTTGTCATTACTTGATTTATATATTTGGCTGCTCCCAAGTTAGGGGCATAAATATTTATAATTGTTAGATCTTCTTTAGACCCCTTTATTATGATATAGTGTCCTTCTTCATCTCTTATTATAGTCTTTGGTTTAAAATCTAGTTTGTCTGATATAGGGATGGCTGCTCCACCTTTCTTTTGGTGTCCATTAGCATGGTAAATCGTTCTCCACCCATCACTTTCTTTTTTTTTTTTTGACAGTCCACCCCATCACTTTCAATCTGGAGGTGTGTTTGGGTCTAAAATGAGTTGGGAGAAAGAGAATCTTAAGTAGGTTCCACACCCAGCATAGAGCCCAATGCAGGGCTCGATCTCACAACCCTGAGATCATGACCTGAGCTGAAATCAAGAATTGAATACTTACCCGACCGAGCTGCCCAGGCGCCTCTCAAAATAAATATTATTAAGATTATTTCTATTCTAGAAGTAAGACTCATTAGAGAAAATTCTAATTACAAAAAATATAAGAAATTGGAGAAAACCACTCATTTTACCAAAATCCAGTCTCTGTTAACATTTTTTTTAAAGATTTTATTTATTTATTTGACAGAGAGAGGGAGACAGCAAGAGAGGAAACACAAGCAAGGGGAGAGGGAGAGGGATAAGCAGGGAGCCCGACACGGGGCTCGATCCCAGGACCCTGGGATCATGACCTGAGCCAAAGGCAGATGCTTAACCAACTGAACCACCCAGGCGCCCCTCTGTTAACATTTTTAAGTGTGTTTCTTTTCCATCTTTTTTCTACACATTTAAAATTTCCTTTTTTACAGTTATGACTACCATAGTTCTATTACAGTTTTATGTGTTGTTTTCTCTCCACTTGACATGCTATAATACAATTAGTTTCCCACTTTAAAGTCCTCATAAAGATTATTTTCAATGATTGCATTACATAATTGATTTAACAAGGCCCATATGGTTAAACATTTGTATTAATTTCTAATTTTTTATTATTATAAGGAACTCTGCCTTTAACACATTTATTAATGTTTTTGCAATTTGTCACAATATTTAATTTAATAGATTAAGAACTATGAATGTTTTTGACACTATCGATTTAATTTATTGAATTGCTCTCTAAGTTGGGTCCCAATAATCTTTGTTTTCAGCACAGGCTTTAGAGTCATCTCCGAGTTGAACCCCAGCTCCATGGGCTGGAGTGAGGCTCTTAGAGGTCCTCACCAATGATGAGGGAGTAGGGTGCCACCTGCTCTTCTGTCACCTGCAAAAGGTAGCTTAAAGTTAATAAAACACCCAGCTGAAAATAGGTTGTGAAAGAGGCTAATGAATAAGTGTTTCCCTGTGATGACTACTTTAATGATTTTATATTTTTGAATATCAAATTTCAAACTGTATTAATTTTTTTCTCTTTTTTTGTTGCTCTTATTTTACTAGTCCCCTTGACACATTTGGTTCACTGATAGAGTGATGGAGTTCCAGAGAACCACCCTTTGTGCTTTTGAGAACTCAGTAAGTTCAATGGGTCTCTCTAAATCTTACCTTTAAACCGAAGATAATCATATGTATTTTATTGGTTGTTTTGGGGGTTAAAATTGTTTGCTGCTTTGCACAGTGCCTGTCCTGTTAGTAAGCATTCAACAAATGATAGCTGCTGTTGATATTTTTTTAAAAGTTTTTTTAATATAATCACTACACTTAATGTGGGGCTCAAACCCATGATCCCTGAGATCACGAGTCACATGTTCTCTCAACTGAACTAGCCAGGTGCCCCTGTTGATTATTTAAAAGGCTATGATGGGGGCTCCTGGGTGGCTCAGTCAGTTAATGGTCTGCCTCCAGCCCAGGTCATGATCACGGCATCCTGGGATCAAGCCCCGCATCGGGCTCCGAGCTCAGCAGGGAGCCTGCTTCTTTCTCTCCCTCTGCCTGCCTGCCTGCTGGTCTGCCTGCTTGTGATCTCTCTCTCTCTGTCAAATAAATAAATAAAATCTTAAAAAATAAAAAATAATAAAATTCTGGGGGGAAGATAATGACCACTAGAATCTACAACTCTGAGCCAGTTCTAAATTTTAAAAATCCTTGGGAAGGACTCTGACAGGTATGGACTAACTCACAGGCTCATCTTAGACCCATTGCCATGATCATAGGAATGTCTACCTTGATGGTCAGACCTGGAGCAAGGCTTTCCCTGTCATTGGGGAGAAGGACTAATGTGATTAGTAGTCTCACCCAAATCCCTTCACCTGAGTGGAGAACAAGTTGCTCCCCAAAGGAAATGTGTGTGTATTGGCATGGGAAGAGGGATGGGGAAGATTGCAGGAGAAGCCGCCAATGTGCTGAGTAGACAAAAGCAACTGTTACAGTCTACAAATTGGCAGGCAAGGCCATTTGTGATTTCCCCTGACACAGCTCCAGCCTCCATTTTGTTTTTGTGACTCCCTACGTCTCATCCTGTTAGGGACACTGAACTTCCACTGAGCTCTGCATCTCCTGGGCTCCCCTTTGCATGAGCCACTCCTTCTTCATCTAAGCCCTCTACCTAGCTAATTCCAACTCAACTTCAGCATATAGTGCAGTTGTCACCTCCTCTAGGAAGTCTACAAGGATTCCATACTTCCCCCAATTAGAGTTAGAATCCTGAAAGGGCTTACGGTGTTCGGGGCTTCCTCCTAGCATAACACATATCACATCATATTGGGATACACTCCAGCTCATTTAAGCAGAAATTTATTTATTACAGGGTTCAAGGTAGCTTACAGAATTTCAGAGAGGCAAGGGAGCCAAGTTTGGTTATTAATCAGCCTGTGAGCAACACAATTAGGAGAAACATCCAATATCCTATAGAAACTTCATAGCCACTTAGCCCCTCCAACGCTAGAAACAGGTTTCGAGAACCCCTGCAACAACTGTCATAAAAGCCAAGCACCTCCACCACCCTTCCTACCTGAGATACCTTGTGGCTGCCACATCATAGTATTTACTTTTACCTTCTAAATCTCTGCTTGGCAGAAGCCTGGTCACATAGAGAATCTAGCTGCAAAGGAAACTGGGAAATTTAGTCTTTATCACAATAAACAGAGGGTTGGAATAGTACAGAATGAGCCAATTTCTAGTATCTTCCACAAAAGCTGTGTTATTAAAGGTGTACAAAGTTATGGTGTTCATACTGCCTTGGTATATAGTTTCATAATCTGTATGAAATCTTTGTTTCCAGAAATATTTTTAATTTAACATCCATTTTATCTGATATTAGTCAATACTAATATCAAGCGAATTACAAGCTAAGTTAGCTTTCTTTTGGGTACTAATTTCCTGACATATTTTTTCCTATCCCCTTATTTATACTCTTTCTATGCTATTTTGTTTGAGGTACATAACTTGTAAGCAGTATGGGTAACTGGATTTTAAAAAAACAATCTAACAGTCCTATCCTTTAATATGTGAGTTTAAATATTTATTTAATATGATTAGGAATCTAATAACTTATCTCTGACATTTTATATTTGCAAATTTATGAAGGTTTTTCTTTTTTTCCCTTTTCTGTCTTCTTTGGATTGTCAGGTTTTTCTAATTCACCTTCTTTTTCTTCAACAAGTTTGGAAATTACATATTCTATTTCTAATCATTTAGGGGCTTTAACAGACTTAAGTTTATTCTTTCCTAACAAAGTCAATAGTTAAACTATATGTCTAGCCTCCTCCTGGACAAGACATTTAGAATAACATAACTTCCCTCCTGACTCACCACACTACACGAATGCCCATGTTATTACTGTCTAGATTTTGGCTCAGAATGTTTTTGTCTGTTCTTGGAAAGAAGTTTCTCCAGGTGATCACTCATCCATCTTGATCTAGAGGTTATGACAGCCATTCGATCTCTTCCTTTTTCCAAATTCCTCCTGGCTCCACAGCCTTTCACCTCCTTTCCTGCCTCCCCACACTGCTTATAAAGTCCCACAGCTCCCTCACTCCTTGCCTTACCACCCCACCGTCCTGTGAATCCTCCACCTGGGAGAGGCAAGCAGGTGCTTATATGCTGAACAACATGTGCCCTGAGTGTGAAGAACTCGAAACCACTGCAGTTTCTTAAGCTCCCTTGCCTACTCCTACCCTTCTCTTTTTCAGCTCATGACCCCACCTCTTACTTCAGGGGATATAGAAGCCATCAACAATTTTCACTTCCTCACCAATAAATTCATCTCTATCCCCACTCACATTTTCCTCTCAGCTTCACTTGAAACAATGCTCTTCTTCTGCCCCTAGGCCAGCTTTCAGATGTAGTCCCTCAATTCCTACTCCTGTCTCCTGTATTTTTAATTCTCTCTCACTAATCCCTCATTGCACCACCAGACAATACTAGCTAAATCAACCTTGCTTCTAATGAACATTTAATACATATTTATAGAGTACATAAATGAATAAATTGGTCAATATGGTATTTACAAAATGGCCATAATCGCTGTCTTTCATCTGAGACATTGTTAAGAATGTCAAGATATTGGGGCATCTGGGTGGCTCAGTCGTTAAGCGTCTGCCTTCGGCTCAGGTCATGATCCCAGGGTCCTGGGATCAAGCACCACATCGGGCTCCCTGCTCAGCGGGGAGCCTGCTGCTCCCTCTCCCACTCCCCCTGCTTGTGTTCCCCTCTCTTGCTATGTCTCTCTCTGTCAAATAAATAAATAAAATCTTTTAAAAAAAGATAAAAAAAGAATATCAAGATATTGCACACACTCAGAAGTGTAACTTTCCACAAATATTTGAAGATCACATCATGAATTCATATAACAAATATCTGAGTTCCTACACTTGCCCTATTATAGGCACTGGGGATAGAGAGCGAATAAAATAGTCAAGGACCCCACCCTCATGTAGCTGACATTCTGGGGGAGGAAAGCAGGATATAAATAAGTAATCAAATAAAATAATTTCAAATGGCAGGGGGTATGAAGAAAATAAAATGGAATCATGGATGGGGAGTGGCATGTTGAGGAAAAACAAGAAAGTAGGTGTGACAAAAGCCTAAAGAACAGGGGGAAGGAAGGATGAGGTGAGGAAAGGAGAGCAGGAGGCAGACCGTGACATCACATGTAGATTCGGTTGTTATGGCACTGGCATGCCACTGGCTTTTTAAAACTGAAATAAAATAACATTGTAAGATGCATAGAAAGTGTACAACTTGACAACACACACACACACACCTCATGAAACAACCACCCAGTTCAAGATACAGAACATTTCCAAACCTCAGAAGTTTCCCTCATGCCACTTCGCAGTCCCTCAACCCCAGTCCCTAGCAAAGATACAGTCCCACTAATCTCTAGCTGGCCTTCTATCACTGCAAAGTTGTTTTTCTTATTCTTGAGCTTCTTTTTTTTTTAAAGATTTTATTTATTTATTTGACAGAGAGAGACACAGCGAGAGAGGGAACACAAGCAGGGGGAGTGGGAGAGGGAGAAGCAGGCTCCCCGCGGAGCAGGGAGCCCGATGCGGGGCTCGATCCCAGGACCCTGGGACCATGACCCGAGCCGAAGGCAGACGCTTAACCTACTGAGCCACCCAGGCGCCCCTCTCTTGAACTTCTTCTAAATAGAATCATACTGTCCAAACTTTGGTCGGTCTTCATTTGCTTTATCAGAGATTCATCTATGTTGTTGCATGAGCCAGGAGTTCCCTCACTTTTTTTTATTACTTGTATTCTGTTATAGAAATATATCATCGTTTATCTACTGTACTACTGATGACCGTTTAGTTTGTTGCCAGTTTTGTTTCTTATCAATCAAGCTGTTCTAAATATCCTTGAACATCTTTTAGTGGACACAGACACTCGTCCCGTGCACACGCCTAGGAGTGAAGTCGCTAGGTCATAGAGTAAGCATATGTTGAGCTTTATTAGTTATTGCCAACAGTCTCTCGGGCTCACCATATATTCCCTCCCGCTAGTGGTGTGTGAGAGTTCTAGTTCCTTTACACCCTCAGCAATATGGGGTATTGTCAGACATTTTAATTTTTAAAAAAATGTTAGCCATTCTGGCAGGTGTATAGTCATATCTCATTGTAGCTTTACTTTTACTTTCCCCGAAGATTAATGATGTTGAACACCATTTCATATTCCAACTGTATGTTTAGATTTTGACTTTTGGTAGGTTTTAGGCAGATTGACCTGTATTTTTAAAAGAGCCCTCCGGTCCCTCTGTGGAGGACCAACTATGGGGAGCAGAGCGGAGCGGAGGCGGAGGGAACACTAGAAGACTATCACAGTGGC